TGTGTGTGAGTGAAGTGTGTGAGTGAGTGAAGTGTGTGAGTGAGTGAAGTGTGTGAGTGAGTGAAGTGTGAGAGTGTGAGAGAAGTGTGTGAGTGAAGTGTGTGAGTGAGTGAAGTGTGTGAGTGAGAGAAGTGTGTGAGTGAAGTGTGTGAGTGAGTGAAGTGTGTGAGTGAGAGAAGTGTGTGAGTGAGAGAAGTGTGTGAGTGAGTGAAGTGTGTGAGTGAGTGAAGTGTGTGAGTGAGTGAGAAGTGTGTGAGTGAGTGAAGTGTGTGAGTGAGTGAAGTGTGTGAGTGAGAGAAGTGTGTGAGTGAAGTGTGAGTGAGTGAAGTGTGTGTGAGTAAGTGAAGTGTGTGAGTGAGAGAAGTGTGTGTGAGTGAAGTGTGTGTGAGTGAGTGAAGTGTGTGAGTGAGTGAAGTGTGTGAGTGAGTGAAGTGTGTGAGTGAGTGAAGTGTGTGAGTGAGTGAAGTGTGTGAGTGAGAGAAGTGTGTGAGTGAGTGAAGTGTGTGAGTGAGTGAAGTGTGTGAGCACAGCACAGCAACAGTCCTGAGGCCTGTACTACGAAGCCGGATTTTCGCTTAGCCGGCTAGATCTCCATGGTAACTTATGCTGAGCGGCTAACCTCCTCGGGAGGCAGGTTAGGTTGCAGGCTAAGAGATCAACTCAGTGAAAGCACCGCCTGCTGACCAATCAGAGCTCCGTGTGCGGAGTTTAAAGCGATCAAGTCATATTACAGGATAGAGGAAATACAGAAAAACTGCCGTTGCAGGAAAGACGGCCGGCCAAAATCCACTGACTGTGTGAACGTGAACATTAATAGAATATCCCCTCCCATCTTCAGAGCAATCTGACTATTATAATATTAGCGTTAAGAAAGCTTACTTAAATATCTGCCACGACATAAGTAACCGGATCAAGTAACATTAAGTACAGTCCGCGGCACTGTGAGTGCAGACGTCGATGTGTCCCATTATCATTCATATCATATCACATCATAATGTATCATATATTTCCTTATCTGAGTCAGCTCTTGAGCCGTATCTGGCTGTGCAACACTCACAGTGTCACATACTGTATGCAGAAGTATTATTTTAAGCAACACATTAAGTTGACGAAACACTCGAGTCAAATGTAATTAAAGTCAGATCGTGTCTTGGACGGGGCAGTGATATCATAAACCTGTTAATGAACGCAATCAAACGCTTTTTTCTTTTACCAGCTGTATTCACCTTGCAGGTGCAGCTATGTGGCTTTGATCCTGGATAAAGTGTTTAAGTCATGGATGTTTAAAGTTTAACGTCTTCATATTTGACTAATATTAAAGTTCACTTTTCATTCAGGAAGTATGACGCTGCGCTGTCAGTACGCTTGTCCATGTTTGAGATTGGTGGAATGCTCCAAATACCACCCCTTTCATGTGAACGCGCACCTAACTAGATAGGACACGGCTGGCTTGAGCGATCCACTTGATAACCAGCGTCGTAGTACAGTTTAGTGAGAGCGCGTATGTTTTGGATTGGGCCAACCGGCTAACTCAAACATATCCAGGTTAGGTTGAACCAGCTTCGTCGTACAGGCCTCTGCTCTTCACAGACAGAAATGCTGATAGCTAACCTTCAGCATGTTGTAGTTTTTTTGCACACATTATTATTGCATGCATTCTTCAAGTCATGGAGTCCAGGCAGTTTCATTATAATATCAAGTGATGTTAATTTGCATTAGTAGTTAGTATTAGGATGTGTGTTCTCTTGTCAGTGAGGAGAGGTGCTCTGTTTACCACAAGCTGCTCTCTTTCTGCAGAACTACAAACCATGTAAAGCAATAATGTGAAGAGGAAGGAAGTGGTGTTTTAAACCCCCTGCTTTCTGTCTCCTTTCTACCTTCAAGCCCACAGAGGGACGTTAAGGTTCGTGAGAACTCCCTTTCTTTTAATGTAGGAAGGGTTTTCTTGTGGACATCAATCAACTTCTTTGTTATTTTGTCACTGAAGCCACACGGAGACGAGAGCAGCAGCTATGAGTTTAACAGCGAGTGGATTTGTTGTCTTCCTTCTCTCTATGCCAGGTAATGTACATCCACATGTTTTTTTATCCACATTATATTTAGCTTTTCTAAACGCTTTGACACTTTACATAAATATTCCATTCAAGTATACAGCAAACATACACAGGCATATATTAGTGACCAAACAAGATGCACGGAAATTCATTTGGAGAAAATACAAAGAGACAGAAAGAAGTGAGATTGGCAGGTGGTTAGTCAGCGGACGACCAGACCCAGGAGCAATGACTGAACTGGCTTTTCCAAGTGTCAAAGGTATGATCCTCTTCTGCATCTTCTACATATGGACAGTGTTCTGTAACTTGACTTCATGTGTTGTCAGGCGCAGCCAACAATAAGGTCTACAGATCATAATACAGAGCACTTCTATATGGAAACTCACTACTACACCATCCATTCCTGCCTCCCTTTATCCTCTCGTGCATTCATTCGTCTTATTCCAGGTATTCTTGCTCATATTCTGATTTGGCAGAAACACACCTGAGTAGAAATGGTTAAACTCATAAAATGTTAATGTGGCGGCACGTGGTAGTGTTTGTTTGAACTCCTATTTAAGATCTACATTTAACCAAAAGCCAGACAACGCCACCTTGGGAATTGCACCCAAGGAAATAATTATTCAAAGTACCAATAAGGCATCAGGTTCGTAATACTGAGGGGCAGGAGAGGTGGTTCCAATTCATCACATGTTTCATTTCAAGTATTAAATATCATTAAAAAACACAGTAAGATCATCATACACACTGGAAATAAAGGGGGACATCTTAATTAAGGGATGCTGAGGCTTACCAGTGGATGGAGGTGACGAGGGGTGAGAGGGATCCCCACAAAGTAAATGAGGGCACCCGTGATCACTAAACACTCACACACACGAAGGAACACCAACACCAGGGGGAGCCAACACACCTTTGGCTCTCAGCAACTAAAGAGGGGCCAACAAAACACATTACTGGGGGAAACAGTCAAAAATAATTAATACACAAACCAACACATAAGATCAGTATAAAGACAATAAGAAATCAATAATACTAAGAGATATAACTAATATCGACTGAAATAAACAAAACAAGTTTAGAACAGGGTCGAAAACAACTAAACTAAAGAAACGGAAATTAACCCAACAATCTACTTAATATTGAACTAAATAAACAAAACAAGCTTAACTCAACAGGGTCAATGAAATAACTAATCATAAACAGAAATTCATCGAACAGTCCACTATAACAATGTTTAAAATGTGGTCATGTAGTGTAATGCACAGTGACACAAAGAGGCAATACAGACGATGCAGGCCAAGAGCAACACCCGCCAGGCAGCAGTGTAGCGGTGAAGCACAGACGTTGAGGCAAAACAGCCGTCTTTCTGTATTAGGCTTCCAGCGCAGGTGATGTTACGATAATAATACTACATTCATATTATTCAGGAAGGATGAGACAAGCAAAAAGCGTACCTACCGATCAGGCTAAGTTAAGACACACAGCAGGAGAGCTTCGTTCAGCAGCGGCAGCAGACATGGGCTGCAGGATCCCTGCAAGGGTCTACAACCAGCAATACACATTTAGTATGTATGCTACTTGTCATGCTAAGCATACAACAAACGGCAGCCACCGCAAACTCACCGGTGCCAGCGGAGAAAGCACGTAAACGGAACCCGGAAGTGGCCTTCGTGCCAAAGAGCAAGAGGGAGCAAGAGCGACACTGACCCCTCTTTAGAAAGGTTGCCCCGTGTTGATAGGGCTGAACAGTTTATCCTGCTACATCGAGATAACGACGAAAACTACATTTAAATGTGCCAAAACAATCAGTGTTAAATATTAAACTGTACATTGTCTCCGGGTCCTGATTCAGTTCCTGATGTTTCACTGTCCTCTACTGGGGGATCTTAAGTGAGACACATTCAGGCTTCATCACTCAGAGAGCTCCCTCCACTGTCTGCTTTAAAGGGTCAGTTCACCCAAACTACTAAAGTACTGATGTCCTCTCTTACCTCCTAAACATGCAAATCATTCATAATGAAGTTTGCTGCATGCTGTGAGGTTGTTTTTCAAATGTTAAAGTGCTTTAATAAATGTAAACATTGGACATATGTTTACAGTTAATTCAACTGATCCACCTAAACATCCAAAGTCATTGAACATGTGTTTTTCGTATCATTAAACTCTGTGTGTCCAAATCCTACCAGTCCACTTGATTATGAGTGTGATGTGTGTGTTCATGTTGGGTTCACACTAACAGGCATGGGAGTTTCTCACGTCTCAGAGTTCTGCATTTCTCAGAAACAGAAGCAACCTGACCGCAGAGAGAGCAGAGAAGAAACAAACCAAGAGAAATGATATGGCATTTTCCATTCTCTCTTATAATTAATTTGGTTCTCTTCATCCTGTTCAGTTAAACTGCCTCGTGGGTTCACAGGTTAATGCATTCCTGTTCCTTCACTACACCTGCAGACTGTGTGACGTCCTCAGTGCTCATAGAGATCAACTGTTTTACCCTTATCATTTTAAATCCTTTCTAATGCTTTTTTCAGGAAAATTGTTTATTTATCAAATGTTAAAGTATCTATCAGTGTTGGATGTTAAAATGTGTTTCAGGGTCCTGTTCAGTATCTGTGATGTGTCACTGTCCTCTAGTGGGGGATCTTAACTGTTGCACATGCAGGCTTCATCACTCTGAGAGCTCCCTCCACTTTCTAGTGGAAGTCTCTTTGGGGGCATTTCACCAAAACTATAATAATATGTATTTCCTATCTCACCTCCAGTGGCATCTAGCCATGCTGATGGTTCATATGAAGTCTGTTCCATGCAGTGCGGTTAACTTAAAGTAAGACCTCTCTGCACACTGCTTTTCTAACTGATCCACTTAAACAAGTCAAAGTAATTTAAAGCATTGTTTTCTAATCAACATCTATCAAACATCAAACATTGTCTGTCCTACCAGTCCATGTGTGAGTGGTTCATGTTGGCAGGCATGTAAGTTTCCCACGTCTCGAAGTTCTGCATTTCTCAAAAACATTAAGCAACCTGACCGCAGAGATAAGAGAGAAGAAACAAACCAAAAACAATGACATGGCATTTTCCATCCTCTCTTATAATTAATTTGGTTCTCTTCATCCTGTTCAGTTAAACTGCCTCGTGGGTTCACAGGTTAATGCATTCCTGTTCCTTCACTACACCTGCAGACTGTGTGACGTCCTCAGTGCTCATAGAGATCAACTGTTATTCTCTTCTTAATTTAAATGCTCTTTTCTGGTGTCAGTGTTATATTGGCAGTGAAACAAATGTTTAACCGAAGTGTCTTTTAACGTGTATACTTTTTTAAAACAATACAACTTTTGTGTGCAGTGGGTGTTACAGGGTTTGGCTCATCATGCATATTAATCGTCTAAAGAGGAAGTAAATCTTGTCTCTTAACAGCCTGATTTCCGTATTCTGCTCATTGGTGACAGAGGAAAGGCATCTTTCAACACATGGTTCCTCCTTCACTGTGAGTAGAAACAGTTTCTTGATGTAATGATTCTGTATACCTCCTGTGAACATTATTTAATCTGACATGTTTTATAGTCTCACAGAGATGAGAGGAGCAGCTATGAGTCTAACTGCAGCAGCGAGTGGATTAGTTGTCTTCCTGCTCTCTGTGTCAGGTACTGTACATCTACACTTACATTCATCACATGAACAGAGGGGATTCTGGGAAAATGTGGGACTTGTAAAATCAGGTCACATGTGGGAATAAGTGGGATGGATTTGAGTAAAAGGCAAAGCAGAAACATTTTAAATGTATTTGTGTGTAGAATTGTAGAAACTCAAAGACGTTACTAGTTTTTTTGATGGATATTCTGAAGATCTTGTCGTGCGTTGCCACTGTCCTTTGCTCCAATCATCTGCATCAAATATCAGTTTGCACTTTTACAAGCGTTCAAATGAGAATATAGTGTATGCATAACTGTTCCATCCTCTCTCTGTGAAAACATTTTGCTTTGTTTTTTTTCTTAAGACGACTTAAAGAATCTCCAGCTCTGTTTTTATTAAGTTTAAGTGATTTAGAGAGATATTCTTATTCTAAGTCATAACATATTGACTCAACTCTTATCGATCATACCTCTGCACCAAACCCTTCTAGTTCCTTCTCTACTCTCTGACCTCAGTGTTATATTCACACGCTCTGAGTTAAAAGCAGTCTTCTTCTTTTTCTTATCTGTATATCAGACAGAAGCTGCTCACACCTCAGTGTTCTGCATTTATTGTTATTGTTCACACTTACCTCAGCAGCAACCTGACCACAGAGCGAACAGAGAGGGAACTGTTCAGAGAATCTCACACTATTCTAATTAATATGATCGCTAATCATTCACTGTTCATTTATATGAAGGCATTTTCCATTCTTCCTTTGCCCTGACTGTAAAACTGAGCATAGACTTTTTGTGTGGACTTCTGTTATACCTGGTTTAAAGTGGACCTATCTTGCTATATTTGAATAATATATTGTAGGGCCATACCTATATAAGGTATATTTATACGTTTTCTTTTTCAAAATACCAAACAGATCATGCATTTTAGCCATGCCTCATTTCGCTCTATTTTGCTCTCCTCCACCCTGTCTTTGCATGCGCTGCAGCTGACCACGCCCCCCTGCAAAGGAGGGGGCCGAGTTACGAGCGTCGTGTTACCATGCTGTTACCATGCTGTTACCATGCCACGGCAACCTCTCATTCCCCTGATAGGTGGAGAGTTGGCCATATAGGCGGAGCTCCTCAGTCCTGACGTCAGAGAAATGTTCAAATCTGGATCAGTTTTTATCAGATCCGTTGCAGCCCCGTTTTTAGAGATTTGGGTATGGAGGAAAATAGAGAGGGTTGTGTTTTCTGACACTTGGTGAGTTCCCTGACACACCGGGGACACATATTCATGTATAAAAGACGTACAAAAGTGCATTTTGCATGATAGGTCCCCTTTAATTAAGAAATAAGAAAGTATCACTGGTACCAGTTTAAAAGTTCCTTAGAAAGAATTCACATGTTTTTCTGCTTTATCCCAGTAAAGTTTGTAAAATGTTTATTTTCAAATTGTTTGTTGACAGTATTGTTTAACAATTTATAGATTAACTTTGATTCTAGTTTCTGATGTGCTCTGTGTTTCAGTGGTTCAGGGTCAGGATGAGTGGGGAGTGGCTTACACTTCTACTGAGATCTGTGCAGTGACAGGATCAACAGTGGAGATAAGATGCAGCTTCACATACCCATCTCCATCGAATGGAAGTGTTACCACAGTAGAAAAAAACATTCTGGTCTAAACAGAAAGATGGTGAATCTGTAGATCTGACCACAGTCTCAGAGTATTCAGGTCATGTAGAGAATCTCTGTGAAAAGAACATCTGCACTCTGAGAATCAGAAACCTGAGAGAGAGCGACTCAGCTGAGTACTGGTTCAGGTTTGAAACAAACCGAGCAGGAGGAAAATATAGTGGTTCACCTGGAGTCACTTTGTCTGTCAAAGGTAACACCAATCAGTTCCAAATGTTCAACATTAAGAAACAATAATATAATTGTGATGTGTTTTTAAATACATGAATGTTGAGAGTTTATTCTTAAATAACCTTCCTGTTCCTTCTTCACAAATACAGATCTCTCGGTGCAGGTGGAACGCAAATATTCCAACAGTGCAAACCTGAAGTGTCAGAGCAGTTGTGATTTACCTGATAATGATTACGTCTGGTACAAGAACGGAGGAAACGCTCTGTCAGGAACATCTTCTCTTCAGGTCGACTTTAATTATCTCGACAGCTATTCCTGTGCTTTGAAAGGATATGAGGACTCTCCCTCCCCTTCAGTGTGTGAGTTCACTTCACTACCTTATTCTAACATAACACCATCTAGTGGAAGCCTTAGCTAACTGTATGGGAATGTGACTTACCATTTATGTTTATTTTTCAGGTGTCACTGGTCGAGACAGCAACACACTGACTTATACTGAAGGAAGTATCTGCGCCCCCAAAGGATCATCAGTGGACATTTCCTGCACGTACAGCAGTAATGAATGTATTACATCTAAATTCTGGTTCAGTCCTGAGCGTAGTCATCAGGGACAGAATCCCTCTCAACCTGAGGACCTTAGTAAAAACTCCCAGTATGCAGGTCGTGTTCAGATCCTTGAAACAGAGAGAGGACGCTCCACTCTGAGGATCCCTGACCTGAGAGACTCAGATTCAGCTCAGTATCTCTTCACATTCAAAACACCAAGCTTTGAATGGAGGAGTGATTTACCTGGAACAACTCTGACTGTCACAGGTACTGATCAACACAAACTGATGTATACTGTATACACCAACACATTACAATGAAAACATACTGGAAGTTGAGTGTTTGTAATTACTGTTGGATGAGTTATCATATTTGTTCACCAACTGTAGACTGTTGTGTTAATGGGTATATGTACATTTATCATCAGTTTCATTTCAGACCGAGTGATATAATATTGTTTATTTTTCTCATATCCAGCTCTGCAGGTGCAGGTGATCAGAACAACTTACCAGCAGTCTAATACCTATGCAGAGCTGAAGTGTCACAGCAGCTGCAGTCCAGCTGGTGTTTCCTACGTCTGGTTCAACAACAGAAAGAAAATCACGACAACATCGATATCTTCCTATAAAGGCTGGATTAAACTCACAGACACTGTCTCTTGTGCTCTGGAAGGACATGAAGCCTTCTCTTCTCCTATAGTGTGTGAGTTCACTCATACACAAACACTGACATTTCAATACATTGACAATTTCAGATAGAAACCTTACAATAGTCTTCTGATTCTTAATGCAGACGCAGCAGTATTATTTATAGAAACAAAAAGCTTTCTAGGTCAACAACATACAGATTAAATAGATTTTGGTAGAGACATAATTTACAACATATCAGAGGTAAAAATACAAAATATCAACAATAACAGAAAATCCGGTAGGCAGCAAGAAACATCACAAAATATCTATCATAAATAAGGTTAGCTTTATATTGTTCTTCATGTTATTCCAAGTTACAGGAACAAGATGAAAAAACTGGATTCTCACTAAAAACCTCAGTCGGCAGCTGCTAGGGTTATTTTGGAATTAGTTCCTCATCCAATGCTCTGTAATGACTCGAAATGCAGCTATTCAGTGTTCAATAATGTAGATACCTTTGAGCTAATGCAGTGAGAAACACATTCTTAATATTTACTGTTCACACATCTCCTCCAGATGCTCCGAGGACTCCATCTTTGTCAAGACCCTCTGGTGAGATAAAGGAGGGCCGTTCAGTGACTCTGACCTGTAGCAGTGATGCTAACCCAGCAGCTACATACACCTGGTACAAGAAGAATGGAAATCGTAACGTTCCTCTTCTCAGTGACGGACCACAGCTTGTCTTCAGCTCCATCCAGTCCTCTGACTCTGGACAGTATTTCTGTTCAGCTACAAATGATCTGGGGAGTAGCACATCTGCAAACACCTTTATTGACGTGAAATGTGAGTAAGACAGTTTATTGAAAGATAACAAGCTTATATCTGTCAAGTTGTTTCAAGAAAATATGTTACTTATCATCACTACTTTCTTCAGCTCAGCTTGCTTTACATTACATGGGATCCAGGCAGGGCCGGCCTGACATGCACATTTACCATTTACCTCACTGTATAAAAAAGTAACTGTGTTGATAATATTAATAAACAGGAATTATATTTGCAAAGTACATTGTTTCCCAAAAAAATGGTTTCCCTCCTGTCGGTTGGGGGGGGGGGGGCTCATCTCACAATGTCGCTTGGAGCCCCAAGTTTGATCCAGGGAACAAGTGGGTAACGAAAAGTGAACTGGCAGTAACTTCTAATCACATTTTATAGAGTTGCTAATGATGACATCATTGAGAAACGACTGTTAAATATTGTTATATTTAACTAATATTTACTGTTATTAACTTTACAAGGCTATCTCTAAATCCTTAAATTCCATGACTCAATTCATAGTTGTGACTTGATTAAGTGATACACTAAACGGCATTTAACCAATGACATCATTACTTTATTATGACCAATAACAATTCAGAAATACCCATGAACAATTATTTACAGTATATATTAATTCATTTACATAATATCTAACGGTTGTTTCTCTAAAATATATTCCTTAGCTAAAGTGAAAAAACTGAAACGTTGACTATAATTAAATGTATTATGTCAACAAATTACACATAATTGTATCAGGTTGGTTGAAAGCAATAATGTACATTTTAAATGAAAAATATTAGGTTCATCTTAATATTATTGCTTTCAACTCACCTAATGCAAATAAATTGAATTTATTGACATAATACATTTAATTAAAGTCAATGTTTTAGTGTTTTCAGTGTACTCTACAAAATGTGATTAGTAAATGCTCAACAACTGTCCTTCAAGTTAGGGTTATTTTGGAATGAGTTCCTCATCCAATGCTCTGTAAGGACTCGAAATGCAGCTATTCAGCGTTCAATAATGTAGATACCTTTGAGCTAATGCAGTGAGAAACACATTCTGAATATTTACTGTTCACACATCTCCTCCAGATGCTCCGAGGACTCCATCTTTGTCAAGACCCTCTGGTGAGATAAAGGAGGGCAGTCCAGTGACTCTGACCTGTAGCAGTGATGCTAACCCAGCAGCTAAATACACCTGGTACAAGAAGAATGGAAATCGTAACGTTCCTCTTCTCAGTGACGGACCACAGCTTGTCTTCAGCTCCATCCAGTCCTCTGACTCTGGACAGTATTTCTGTTCAGCTACAAATGATCTGGGGAGTAGCACATCTGCAAACACCTTTATTGACGTGAAATGTGAGTAAGACAGTTTATTGAAAGATAACAAGCTTATATCTGTCAAGTTGTTTCAAGAAAATATGTTACTTATCATCACTACTTTCTTCAGCTCAGCTTGCTTTACATTACATGGGATCCAGGCAGGGCCGTCCTGACATGCACATTTACCATTTACCTCACTGTATAAAAAAGTAACTGTGTTGATAATATTAATAAACAGGAATTATATTTGCAAAGTACATTGTTTCCCAAAAAAATGGTTTCCCTCCTGTCGGTTGGGGGGGGGGGGGGCTCATCTCACAATGTCGCTTGGAGCCCCAAGTTTGATCCAGGGAACAAGTGGGTAATGAAAAGTGAACTGGCAGTAACTTCTAATCACATGTTATAGAGTTGCTAATGATGACATCATTGAGAAACGACTGTTAAATATTGTTATATTTAACTAATATTTACTGTTATTAACTGTACAAGGCTATCTCTAAATCCTTAAATTCCATGACTCAATTCATAGTTGTGACTTGATTAAGTGATACACTAAACGGCATTTAACCAATGACATCATTACTTTATTATGACCTACAATTCAGAAATACCCATGAACAATTATTTACAGTATATATTAATTCATTTACATAATATCTAACGGTTGTTTCTCTAAAATATATTCCTTAGCTACAGTGAAAAAACTGAAATGTTGACTATAATTAAATGTATTATGTCAACAAATGACACATAATTGTATCAGGTTGGTTGAAAGCAATAATATACATTTTATATGAAAAATATTAGGTTCAACTTAATATTATTGCTTTCAACTAACCTAATGCAAAACAATTAATTTATTGACATAATACATTTAATTAGAGTCAATGTTTTAGTGTTTTCAGTGTACTCTACAAAATGTGATTAGTAAATACTCAACAACTGTCCTTCAAGTTAGGGTTATTTTGGAATGAGTTTCTCATCCAATGCTCTGTAATGACTCGAAATGCAGCTATTCAGCGTTCAATAATGTAGATACCTTTGAGCTAATGCAGTGAGAAACACATTCTTAATATTTACTGTTCACACTTCTCCTCCAGATGCTCCGAGGATTCCTTCTCTCTCAACACGCTCTGGTGAGATAAAGGAGGGCCGTTCAGTGACTCTGACCTGTAGCAGTGATGCTAACCCAGCAGCTAAATACACCTGGTACAAGAAGGATGTTAATCGTAACGTTCCTCCTCTCAGTGAAGGACGACAGCTTTTCTTCAGCTACATCCAGTCCTCTGACTCTGGACAGTATTTCTGTTCAGCTACAAATGATCTGGGGAGTAGCACATCTGAAACCATCCGTATTGACGTGAAATGTGAGTAAGACAGTTTATTTAAAGATAACAAGCTTATATCTGTCTAGTTGTTTCTAGAGAAGATGTTACTTATCATCACTACTTTCTTCAGCTCAGCTTGCTTTACATTACATGGGATCCAGGGAACAAGTGGGTAACGAAAAGTGAACTGGCAGTAACTTCTAATCACATTTTATAGAGTTGCTAATGATGACATCATTGAGAAACGACTGTTAAATATTGTTATATTTAACTAATATTTACTGTTATTAACTTTACAAGGCTATCTCTAAATCCTTAAATTCCATGACTCAACTCATCGTTGTGACTTGATTAAGTGATACACTAAACGGCATTTAACCAATGACAAATCATTACTTTATTATGACCAATAACAATTCAGAAATACCTGTGAACAATTATTTACAGTACATATTAATTCATTTACATAATATCCAGCGGTTGTTTCTCTAAAATATATTCCTTAGCTAAAGTGAAAAAACTGAAACGTTGACTATAATTAAATGTATTATGTCAACAAATTACACATAATTGTATCAGGTTGGTTGAAAGCAATAATGTACATTTTAAATGAAAAATATTAGGTTCATCTTAATATTATTGCTTTCAACTCACCTAATGCAAAACAATTGAATTTATTGACATAATACATTTAATTAAAGTCAATGTTTTAGTGTTTTCAGTGTACTCTACAAAATGTGATTAGTAAATGCTCAACAACTGTCCTTCAAGTTAGGGTTATTTTGGAATGAGTTCCTCATCCAATGCTCTGTAAGGACTCGAAATGCAGCTATTCAGCGTTCAATAATGTAGATACCTTTGAGCTAATGCAGTGAGAAACACATTCTGAATATTTACTGTTCACACATCTCCTCCAGATGCTCCGAGGACTCCATCTTTGTCAAGACCCTCTGGTGAGATAAAGGAGGGCAGTCCAGTGACTCTGACCTGTAGCACTGATGCTAACCCAGCAGCTACATACACCTGGTACAAGAAGAATGGAAATCGTAACGTTCCTCTTCTCAGTGACGGACCACAGCTTGTCTTCAGCTCCATCCAGTCCTCTGACTCTGGACAGTATTTCTGTTCAGCTACAAATGATCTGGGGAGTAGCACATCTGCAAACACCTTTATTGACGTGAAATGTGAGTAAGACAGTTTATTGAAAGATAACAAGCTTATATCTGTCAAGTTGTTTCAAGAAAATATGTTACTTATCATCACTACTTTCTTCAGCTCAGCTTGCTTTACATTACATGGGATCCAGGCAGGGCCGTCCTGACATGCACATTTACCATTTACCTCACTGTATAAAAAAGTAACTGTGTTGATAATATTAATAAACAGGAATTATATTTGCAAAGTACATTGTTTCCCAAAAAAATGGTTTCCCTCCTGTCGGTTGGGGGGGGGGGGGGCTCATCTCACAATGTCGCTTGGAGCCCCAAGTTTGATCCAGGGAACAAGTGGGTAACGAAAAGTGAACTGGCAGTAACTTCTAATCACATGTTATAGAGTTGCTAATGATGACATCATTGAGAAACGACTGTTAAATATTGTTATATTTAACTAATATTTACTGTTATTAACTGTACAAGGCTATCTCTAAATCCTTAAATTCCATGACTCAATTCATAGTTGTGACTTGATTAAGTGATACACTAAACGGCATTTAACCAATGACATCATTACTTTATTATGACCTACAATTCAGAAATACCCATGAACAATTATTTACAGTATATATTAATTCATTTACATAATATATAACGGTTATTTCTCTAAAATATATTCCTTAGCTACAGTGAAAAAACTGAAATGTTGACTATAATTAAATGTATTATGTCAACAAATGACACATAATTGTATTAGGTTGGTTGAAAGCAATAATATACATTTTATATGAAAAATATTAGGTTCAACTTAATATTATTGCTTTCAACTAACCTAATGCAAAACAATTAATTTATTGACATAATACATTTAATTAGAGTCAATGTTTTAGTGTTTTCAGTGTACTCTACAAAATGTGATTAGTAAATGCTCAACAGCTGTCCTTCAAGTTAGGGTTATTTTGGAATGAGTTCCTCATTCAATGCTCTGTAATGACTCGAAATGCAGCTATTCAGCGTTCAATAATGTAGATACCTTTGAGCTAATGCAGTGAGAAACACATTCTGAATATTTACTGTTCACACATCTCCTCCAGATGCTCCGAGGATTCCTTCTCTCTCAACACGCTCTGGTGAGATAAAGGAGGGCCGTTCAGTGACTCTGACCTGTAGCAGTGATGCTAACCCAGCAGCTAAATACACCTGGTACAAGAAGGATGTTAATCGTAACGTTCCTCCTCTCAGTGAAGGACAACAGCTTGCCTTCAGATCCATCCAGTCCTCTGACTCTGGACAGTATTTCTGTTCAGCTACAAATGATCTGGGGAGTATCACATCTGAAACCATCCGTATTGACGTGAAATGTGAGTAAGACAGTTTATTTAAAGATAACAAGCTTATATCTGTCTAGTTGTTTCAAGAGAAGATGTTACTTATCATCACTACTTTCTTCAGCTCAGCTTGCTTTACATTACATGGGATCCAGGGAACAAGTGGGTAACGAAAAGTGAACTGGCAGTAACTTCTAATCACATTTTATAGAGTTGCTAATGATGACATCATCGAGAAACGACTGTTAAATATTGTTATATTTAACTAATATTTACTGTTATTAACTTTACAAGGCTATCTCTAAATCCTTAAATTCCATGACTCAACTCATCGTTGTGACTTGATTAAGTGATACACTAAACGGCATTTAACCAATGACAAATCATTACTTTATTATGACCAATAACAATTCAGAAATACCTGTGAACAATTATTTACAGTACATATTAATTCATTTACATAATATCTAACGGTTGTTTCTCTAAAATATATTCCTTAGCTAAAGTGAAAAAACTGAAACGTTGACTATAATTAAATGTATTATGTCAACAAATTACACATAATTGTATCAGGTTGGTTGAAAGCAATAATGTACATTTTAAATGAAAAATATTAGGTTCATCTTAATATTATTGCTTTCAACTCACCTAATGCAAATAAATTGAATTTATTGACATAATACATTTAATTAAAGTCAATGTTTTAGTGTTTTCAGTGTACTCTACAAAATGTGATTAGTAAATGCTCAACAACTGTCCTTCAAGTTAGGGTTATTTTGGAATGAGTTCCTCATCCAATGCTCTGTAAGGACTCGAAATGCAGCTATTCAGCGTTCAATAATGTAGATACCTTTGAGCTAATGCAGTGAGAAACACATTCTGAATATTTACTGTTCACACATCTCCTCCAGATGCTCCGAGGACTCCTTCTTTGTCAAGACCCTCTGGTGAGATAAAGGAGGGCAGTCCAGTGACTCTGACCTGTAGCAGTGATGCTAACCCAGCAGCTACATACACCTGGTACAAGAAGAATGGAAATCGTAACGTTCCTCTTCTCAGTGACGGACCACAGCTTGTCTTCAGCTCCATCCAGTCCTCTGACTCTGGACAGTATTTCTGTTCAGCTACAAATGATCTGGGGAGGAGCACATCTGCAAACTCCTTTATTGACGTGAAATGTGAGTAAGACAGTTTATTGAAAGATAACAAGCTTATATCTGTCAAGTTGTTTCAAGAAAATATGTTACTTATCATCACTACTTTCTTCAGCTCAGCTTGCTTTACATTACATGGGATCCAGGCAGGGCCGTCCTGACATGCACATTTACCATTTACCTCACTGTATAAAAAAGTAACTGTGTTGATAATATTAATAAACAGGAATTATATTTGCAAAGTACATTGTTTCCCAAAAAAATGGTTTCCCTCCTGTCGGTTGGGGGGGGGGGGGGCTCATCTCACAATGTCGCTTGGAGCCCCAAGTTTGATCCAGGGAACAAGTGGGTAACGAAAAGTGAACTGGCAGTAACTTCTAATCACATGTTATAGAGTTGCTAATGATGACATCATTGAGAAACGACTGTTAAATATTGTTATATTTAACTAATATTTACTGTTATTAACTTTACAAGGCTATCTCTAAATCCTTAAATTCCATGACTCAATTCATAGTTGTGACTTGATTAAGTGATACACTAAACGGCATTTAACCAATGACAAATCATTACTTTATTATAACTAATAACAATTCAGAAATACCCATGAATAATTATTTACAGTATATATTAATTCATTTACATAATATCTAACGGTTGTTTCTCTAAAATATATTCCTTAGCTAAAGTGAAAAAACTGAAACGTTGACTATAATTAAATGTATTATGTCAACAAATTACACATAATTGTATCAGGTTGGTTGAAAGCAATAATGTACATTTTAAATGAAAAATATTAGGTTCAACTAAATATTATTGCTTTCAACTCACCTAATGCAAACACATTGAATTTATTGACATAATACATTTAATTAAAGTCAATGTTTTAGTGTTTTCAGTGTACTCTACAAAATGTGATTAGTAAATACTCAACAACTGTCCTTCAAGTTAGGGTTATTTTGGAATGAGTTCCTCATCCAATGCTCTGTAATGACTCGAAATGCAGCTATTCAGCGTTCAATAATGTAGATACCTTTGAGCTAATGCAGTGAGAAACACATTCTGAATATTTACTGTTCACACATCTCCTCCAGATGCTCCGAGGATTCCTTCTTTGTCAAGTCCCTCTGGTGAGATAAAGGAGGGCAGTCCAGTGACTCTGACCTGTAGCAGTTATGCTAACCCAGCAGCTAAATACACCTGGGACAAGAGGGATCAAAATGCACTCCTTTCTTCTGTCAATGAAGGACCACTTCTTGTCCTCAGCTCCATCCAGTCCTCTGACTCTGGACAGTATTTCTGTAGAGCTGAGAACTCGCTGGGGGCGAATACATCTAAAGACATATTTGTTGATGTGAAATGTGAGTGAAACATTGTTTTAAAGCTTTAATCTGTCCTGTCTTTGCTGGAGAATATTTCTATGATCTTTACTACTTTCTTCAGCTCTATAGCTTCTCATTCACAGTCTGCTGTAATTCTCTTAATAGCTTAAGGTGATTTTAAGATACTTAAAATGTATTTTTTAAAGGATATTTATGACAATAATTACCTAAAAATGTATTGATTAATCCAAATTGATCCATTAATTCAAAATGCATCATCTGAGAAAGCCATGTAAACATTTAAAACATAGTGATGTGAATGACACGGGTCTCTCTGAATCTCCAGATCCTCCAAAGCTCCCCTCTGTGTCAGTGAGTCCCTCTGCTGAGATAGAGGAGGGCAGTTCAGTGACTCTGACCTGTAGCAGTGATGCTAACCCAGCAGCTAAATACACCTGGTACAAGGAGGATGAAGACTCTCCAAATGCTTCAGGACAGATCTTCACCATCACTGACTTCAGAGCTGAACACAGTGGGAGGTATTCCTGTGGAGCCCAGAACAAGTTAGGACGTAGTAACTCCACCTTTCATCTGACTGTTGTGAAAGGTACGTTTTATGGCTTCATCTTAAACAGCAAATGTATCAGCTTTTTTTAAATTTTCAGTCACATAGGAGGCAGAAGAAAGTTGCAGTTTTCATCGTTGATGTGGGAAACGTTTTCTTTCTGTTACATACAAAATGGCTCATATATTTTATTTATAAAATAAGATTAACTTTATTAATCCCAATTTGGGAATTTCTTTTGTTGCAGCAGCATAACATAATAACAGATACAAATAGTAGATATGAACAATTCTAAAATATAAACATCTCAAAATACATATAGAAATAAACTAGAATCTCTTATCTCTTGTGTTTCAACAAATTGTTGTGTTACTGCTGCAGTTTGTTGTGCTGTCTTTCCCTCAATACTTACAGTGAGAGTTTTGTTAAGTTAAGCACACCCAATGTGAATAAAGGGTTCTTCTTGCCTACATAAGAACAGAACAGTAAGGTAAATCCAAGGTCTGTGCAGTGCCCATTTATTGGGACATTAGATGCCAATTTCACTGTTTGCAGACGATACCGTCCTTTTCAATAGCCCTTGACCATCAGTGTGCCTAACCCTGATAAGACCTTAGTAATGCAGGTATTTGTATTCAACATTTAGTTTTGAGACAAACCCTGGACTTACTGGGCTGGTTAGCTGTCCAGCTGGTCTGGGAGCACCAGGAGATTCAAAAAGAAGGAAAAACAGTATTCACGGCGTAAAAAGTATCCCCATTAGAGAAACACTGCTGTATTAACTGTCTGTTCTCTGTTGATCACTGTTTCTCAGGATCATGGAAGCTACTACCTTTGGTAACAATCCCTGTTGTTCTCCTGGCTGTCATATCTCTCTCTGTCTTCCTGTGGATCAGGTGAGCAGATCTGTTCATCTTAATCATTGTTTGTTAAATCATTGAAAATGTGTGTTGTTAGAACTTTATCACTTTTTTTAACCAGAAAAAAGAGGGCTTCCAGGGACTCTGCTGAACCTGAAGAGAGACCGGAACACACGGAAGAGGTGAGAATATTTTTATAACAAATACTGTCTAGTCTTAAAAAATCTGTTCTATTGATACTTGTCTTGAAACGTCCTTAATCTTTTCTGTCATACAGCATGATGTTGATGAAGCAGGGATATTTCTTCCATCATACCACATTTGAGTTTTCTGTCCTGGCTGCAATCCTCTGAAAAACTATAAACCAAATAACATTAAAATGTATAGCTGATTCCAATGTCAGACAACAATATGTCCAAATGAGCAATCACAGGTCAGGGTTGTTTCACGAGTTGTCCTCCAGGTGTCAGTATTGGGTCCACTCTTGTTCATTACATTACATGTTACTTGTCAGACGCCTTTATCCAAAGCGACTTACATACACAATACTGTGGACAATCCCCACAGGAGCAATTTGGGGTGTCTTGCCCAGGGACACAACGACATGCTGACTGCAGTGGGGTTTGAACCTGTGCTCCCCTGATCCGAACACCAACGCACTAATCCACTGCGCCACACGCCTGTTCATCATCAACCGCCTTCACCATTATGTCCACTTTCACTGCTATGCCAACCTCTCCATGCCACACACCTTCACTCCCCCTAACCTAATCATTGATTGCTTCTCTGTACCTTTCTCCAGTCAAGTCAAACGCCTTTGTGTCACCTTAGAACCATCCTCTCTTATGCACCTAACATAAGAAACATCACCCAAACTTCTTTCTTCCACCTACGTAACATTTCCAGACTCCCTCCATCCCTCTCTAGATTAAGTCTTAGTCCATGTATTTGTCACATCCTGTATTGACTATTGCAAGGTTTCCCTCTCCGGTCTGTCCACCAATCTCTTCCACAAGCTCCAAATCATTCAGAACTGGGATCATTACCCGCACAGAATCCTCTGACCACATCATTCCCCTTCTCAAGCAGCTACACTGGCTCCCTTTTCAATACCAACATTGACTAATAAAACCTTCTGCTCACCTAAAAAGCGTATACCCCCTCCTGCTCCTTCCACTCATCCTCAGTTGATTATCTAACCATCCCCACTTCACACCAACCATTCTGTATGCTGTGATGAAATGCTACTGACCCTGTCCCACTTATGTTTGCCTTGTTTGTGTTTGGTTCAGGATTAGCTGTTTTTCTTATTCGATAATTTGTTTTATGCATTGAAAGGTGTCCTTGGGTGTCCTACAAGGCACCTCCAAATAAAAAGTATTATTTTTTTTATTTTCTAGTATGCCACCGTCCACTTTTCCAACAACCGAGCAGAACCTCTTTACTCCAACATGAGAGCAGGTCAACACCTCGGACACACGGAGCAACAGGAAGTCCCGGAATACGCTGCCATCAAGTTCACGAGTCGTGCCCCGAGGTGAGCAGCTCCTCACACAGGAACATTAACCTCATTACAAGATTAAAATGACACTACTTTGAAATATATCAATTGCTTTTGTATGCCTTTTGTCACTGAGAGATATTATCATGTATTTCTCAGGACCAGACCAGAGGATCCAGCTGAACTGTACAGCGTGATCACCAAAGCCCACTGAACACAGCAGGCTTTGCATTTGAACTCTGATACTTCAGTTTTTTGACAATGAGTAAATTACGCAGGTCAATATTGATCTTTAAAATATATTTCACAGGATGGGCCTCTCCAAAAATGTGCTTTGAGACAATTATGTATCTTAAAGAAACATAACATGTATTCATTCAAAAGTGTTTAGCTTAGCTTTGTTTACTCTTACTTGGACAGCTGTAAAAAAAATATTTAATGCATCAAATTGTTAATTTAACTTGGTTAATACAAAAGTAGTATCTTTCGGTACGACAAAGGATGTGATCCCTAACTGGCTTCCCACTGACAGCATTTTTTTATTGGGAAACTGGAGACATTAGCATAGAGTTAGATTTTAATGATAAAAGACAATTGCCTTTGTACATTTCTCTAATTACTTCATATAACATTTATTCACTCTTTTATTCATCTTCCAAAATATAAATCAAAACGATTTTGAGGCTTACTTGACCTTATATCAGAAATGTCCCAACTACTATTGGATTAAATATCTTAAAGGTCCCCTATGATACTCTTTTCATCAATATATTATAGTTCTCAGATATATACAAAACATGTCTCTGAAGTGTTTGTCTCCAAACACCAAACAGATCATTGCAGCATCCCATAATCCCCTCTGTTTCAGCCCTGTTTCCAAAGTGCTGATTCTCTGTCTGTTACTTTAGATGAAAATAAGGAGCCCCTCCCCATGCCCCTCTGAGAGATATTTGGTTACAAAGAACACAATGGTGCTCTAGGAGGAGATTCAGGTGATAAGGTGGGGGGGGGGGGGGGGGGTTACCTTGGTTGGTGATTGGCTAATGGTTACACAAGACAAAACATCGTTATGACATCATAAAGTGGCCAAAATCTGATCAGCTCATTTTCAGACAGGTTTTTATAGAAATGGATCAGGACAAAAAGAGAGAGAATCTTTGTTCCTGAAACTTTCAGAGTCTCTTTACACAGAGGGGACACATGTTGATGAAGAAGAGACATGAAGAAGAGGGGACACATGTTGATGAAGAAGAGACATGAAGAAGAGGGGACACATGTTGATGTAGAAGAGACATGAAGAAGAGGGGACACATGTTGATGTAGAAGAGACATGAAGAAGAGGGGACACATTTTGATGTAGAAGAGACATGAAGAAGAGGGGACACATGTTGATGTAGAAGAGACATGAAGAAGAGGGGACACATGTTGATGTAGAAGAGACATGAAGAAGAGGGGACACATGTTGATGTAGAAGAGACATGAAGAAGAGGGGACACATGTTGATGTAGAAGAGACATGAAGAAGAGGGGACACATGTTGATGTAGAAGAGACATGAAGAAGAGGGGACACATGTTGATGTAGAAGAGACATGAAGAAGAGGGGACACATGTTGATGTAGAAGAGACATGAAGAAGAGGGGACACATGTTGATGTAGAAGAGACATGAAGAAGAGGGGACACATGTTGATGTAGAAGAGACATGAACAAGTGGATTTTGCATAATAGGTGACCTTTAAATGTCACATATTCATATCTTTCAAAAGGTAAAATAACATGTTATTCCGCCAAAGTAGCATATTGAACATGATGGATGTATGGATTAAAACCCACCCAATAAAAAGTGTTGTTATTGGAAAGCACATTGGGTATTGGAGAGGAATAATGCCTTAGCTGATCTTGGTGCAGTTTCATAATGCTGCCACTAGGTTTTAGTAAAGAGACGTATTTTTCACCAATAGAAAACCATTTCATAGAACTGGTGGGTATATAACTATCTTTGTGTACAGTATTTTAACACATGCTTTGTTGGCCATCATGTTTTATTAACCAGCTCCATTATCAACATTTTATGTGATATTATGTTGTTTTTTTTTTACGGTTTTTATCATCAGAGCTCATTATAATTGTGTGACTCGCTTTGCTGTTATTACCTGTTCTGTTTGGCTCTGAAAGCATGTTTCTTTTTCTCTTCTGTATTGATTAGGTTTAATTGGTTTAAATATAATAATGTGTTTGAAATGTTAACAGCTCATGTCTAATGCAATAAATGTTGATGTTAAAATATCAAAGTGCATTTGTTTGATTGTAAAAACAGTGGAAACAGTAAAAACAAATTAAGCTGCAGTGATGAAAGTGCAGTGTTTGTCAGGATACATTAGAAGGTGAACACAGTGAAGGCAGAGTGTCACACTGAGTGAGAGAAGTGTGTGAGTGAGAGAAGTGTGTGAGTGAAGTGTGTGAGTGAGTGAGTGAAGTGTGTGAGTGAGTGAAGTGTGTGAGTGAGTGAAGTGTGTGAGTGTGTGAAGTGTGTGAGTGAAAGAAGTGTGTGAGTGAGTGAAGTGTGTGAGTGAGAGAAGTGTGTGAGTGTGTGAAGTGTGTGAGTGAGTGAAGTGTGTGAGTGTGTGAAGTGTGTGAGTGAGAGAAGTGTGTGAGTGAGTGAAGTGTGTGAGTGAGTGAAGTGTGTGAGTGTGTGAAGTGTGTGAGTGAAAGAAGTGTGTGAGTGAGTGAAGTGTGTGACCACAGCACAGCCAAAGTCCTGCTCTTCCCTCACAGAGATATTTGCAGCTAAGCTTCAGTTCGTGCGGCAGATTGTAGTTTCGTCTGATTTTACACGTGGATTTCAGAAATATTGACAATTGAAATGTGAAACCTTGGATAAGCACTAATGAATGAATTCATCATGACTTTTTGCAGTCATTATTAATGCATGTGTCTTTCAGGTTATAGTGTAGAGGCAGTTTCACAGAAGTTTAAAGAGCATTGTCTCACATTCTGAATGGAGCCATTTACGATAAAGGAAGACAAGAACACATTCATCCCCAGCATCAGAGAGGTGGTGAGGTGTGGATCCTTCAGGTTCACCACAAAACCTTTAGTTCAAAACAACAAACAGTGCATATTAATAATGTGAGAAAAAGGAAGTGGTGTTTTACACACCTGTTTCGGTCTGTTTATACCTTCAAGCCCACAGAGGGGCGTACAGGTCCGAGAGAACTTCCTTTTAAATTAAGTAATTGTTTCTTGTGTAAATCCATCCTTTCTTTATTCTACTGTCACTGAAGCCACACGGAGACGAGAGGAGCAGCTATGAGTTTAGCAGCAGGAGGGTTTATCGTCTTCCTTCTCTCTCTGCCAGGTAATGTTTATTTACATTAACATGGTACCACATTAACAGAACAGCTTTAATTGGGATTAGGAACATATTCTAAATAGATTGTTCGTCAAATCCTCAGATATCTTTTTGTAACGCCATATCTCTTTATCCTTTTTGCTGAAAAAGGTAACATGAGACCTTATTTCAAAATTAAGTAAAAAGAAAAGCTGCAAAACTTGAAACCAGGACATGTTTTTGAATGAAAAATGATATATATTAAATATATATTTTCTTGTAAAGTGATAGTTGTACCTGTATATAATGTCAGGTTGTTATATCAATAACTGTGTGCGTTACATATTATAAAGTCTTCATATTTTTAGTTTGCATAAATGTGAATTTATAAAGTCGTGTAAAAGCAAAAATGTGAAATACGTCCCTCTCAAGTGTAGTATAACTAAAAGTGCCCTAAAATGTCTTCAAAGTAATACAGACCAAATCTAAACACCCAGAAGTAAGAAATAATCAACATTTATCAATTATGATAAACACATCTTGCTCTTGTTTTTTGCATGAAGTAACCTCAAATATATTTGACATGCTGTTGAGTATATTGTATTTCCCCACTGTTCACTCCTCACCCTGTGAAAACATGTTGCACTGTTTAGTCTTAAAACTACCCTGGTTAAAAAATGGCCAGCTCGTTTTGAAGATATAATCTTCTCTTATTGATCGAAAATCTTCACCAAACCCTGCTAGTTCCTTCTCTTGCAACGCTCAGCTTTGATCTTATCTGTTTATCATTCAGAGACAGCTCACACCTCAGGGTTCTGCCTTTATTTTTCACACTTACTGTAGCTCAGCAGCAACCTGACCGCAGAGGGAACAGAGAGGGAACTGAACAAGACAAGCACACACTCTTATTATTAATACTGTCCCTGCTCATTGATGTATGTTAAGGATTCATCAGAGATATACATGAATACCTCAGACAATTGGGGAACTTAAAGCTTGTCCTGGTTAAAATTCCTCTAAATAATATTATGATCCACTTTTTCTCATTAACTTATTGTTATTGTCTTATTGTAGTTTATGTTGTGCTCTGTGTTTCAGTGGTTCAGGGTCAGGATGGCTGGGCAGTGACTTACACTTCTACTGAGATCTGTGCAGTGAAAGGATCAACAGTGGAGATAAGCTGCCGTTACACTTACCCATCTACATTGAAAGACGTTGTTAACACAGTAGAAAAAACATTCTGGTTTACTAAACAGAAAGATGATGAACCTGTAGATCTGAAAACAGACTCAGAGTATGCAGGTCGTGTAGAGGATGTCTGTGAAAACAACAGCTGCACTCTGAGAATCAAAAACCTGAGAGAGAGCGACTCAGCTGTGTACAAGTTCAGGTTCGAAACAAACCAAGATAAATACCTGGGTAAACCTGGAGTCACTTTGTTTGTGACAGGTAACTTTTTCACTTGAAATTATATTCATGTCTCGAAATTCGCGAAAATACTGTGCATGTTATCATCTACGTATATATGAACATATTTATTAGTTTTTTTGTTCTACCTATATTCAGATCTCCAGGTGCATGTGAGCAGATCACGACCGAATACTCGCCTTCAGTGTCTCAGCAGTTGTCGTCCACCTGGTCACACTTCCTACATCTGGTTAGAGAATGGACAGAAAATAAAGGAAGACACATCTCCTTATGCAGAAGTCAGTTATGATTCTGCAGATGGTTATTCCTGTGCTGTAAAAGGATATGAAGACTTCCCCTCTCCTTCAGTGTGTGAGTTTACTTACAGTCTTCCACTGACAAAACATTATTGCACTTTATTTATCGTAGTCACACACCAGAGGTAGCCAGTAGACATGGCTTTGTCCAAAGACACTGCACCAGGATCATTTCCTGTGGGCAAACAGGGGAACTTATTTTGGACATTTCTATAAGAAAAACAATCAAGCGGAAACATTTGCTGAAAATGTATTAATTCACAGATTAACATGAATGCTTACCATAGCATTATGTACACAATGCATCAACATCATGCTTACACAATGTCCCTCATCAAAAAACTGTTCACACACAATCCCAATCACCTAGGGTTTACCACTTCCTACATTGAGGCTCAACCCTGTGGTCACTGTCAACGCTCCATTTACCTTTGGTTGTGCATAATCTAAAAACATCATCATGGCTCCAACAATGCGTTTACTCCACTGTGTCAGTAACAGTGTATTATATAAAAGGAGATCAAGCTCCAACACCCACTTAGTTTTTTCTGAATTTTTGTCAATTAAAAGTATCTTCCACTGTGAGAACTGATCTTCAAATGTAATATTAAATGTATTTATGGTTTCTCTTCCAGATGCTCCAAAGCTCCCCTCTGTGTCAGTGAGTCCCTCTGCTGAGATAGAGGAGGGCAGTTCAGTGACTCTGACCTGTAGCAGTGATGCTAACCCAGCAGCTAACTACACCTGGTACAAGGAGGATGAAGACTCTCCAAAAGCTTCAGGACAGATCTTCAACATCTCTGACTTCAGAGCTGAACACAGTGGGAGTTATTTCTGTGAAGCCCAGAACAAGTTAGGACGTAGTAACTCCACCTTTCATCTGATTGTTGTGGCAGGTAAGTTCTCTACATTCACCAGACCTGATTCACATTGTAATATTCAGCAACCCATGAAATACTAAAAAACGTCAGTCTTCAAGGATGAACCTCCATGGTGTCAGACGTGGATGACACTGACAAAGAGATGTATCTACTAGTGAGACGTATCACATATGTATTCATGTTTCTAGGGAGTTCAACAATGATATTGAATATCATCTGGACGATTCCGGTGGTCTTGATTCTGATTCCTGTGTTCCTCGTGGGTCTGTGGATGAGGTACAACGAAATAAATCCATCAGTTCTCCCACCATTTAAAAAAAATCTTTTATCAACCCTACGTTTCTCTGTCATGAATTCTGTATTTGATATTATTGTACTCAATCCAGGAAGAAGAAAACTATTTCTCACCCCACCACTGAAGCACATGAACCTGAAGAGATAGAGGTGAGAGAGAGAACCTGGTTATAAATTGACTCATGGAGAGAGGTGGAGGAAGTACTCAGATCTTGTACTTGAGTAAAAGTAGAAGTACCAGAGTGTAGTAATACTCTGTTAAAAGTGCAAGTCCTGTATTCAAAATGTTACTAAAGTAAAAGTACAAAAGTATTAGCATCAAAATATATCAAAAGTAAATGTAGTAAAAGTAGTCATTGTGCAGATTGGTCCATTTGGTCCACTGCAGGGTATATTGTGAATTTACTCCAGGTGGAACTAAAGTCTGATTTAGGAGTTGTTTATATTTCAATTCATTAATCCAAATCTGCAAAGTAACTAAATGTATTAATTAAATGTAGTGGAGCAAAAGTACAAAGTATCAAAAAATTGAAATACTCAAGTGCAAGTCTTTCATATGTTTGTTCATAAGTAGGCTACAGTACTTGAGTAAATGTACTTTACACCAAAGTGAACTTGTGTTTTATAATCTAATGAAAAGTATAAACAGGTTTGATGAATGAGGTCCATAAAGCCTTACTGTATGTTGTCTTCTCTCTTCATCAGTTGGACTCTGATCCTGTGTATGAGAACTTCAGAGTTACTGCAGCACATGGTGTGAAGTCCAGTCAGGTTAGAGCCTCCTGCATCAGATAAAACAGGCCCACTCCACATTTATAGTCACAGTTCCAGCTGTAACTTTACACAAAGTCTTTTTGATTTTCTTCAGATGCTCACCTGATGGAAACAAAGAAGAAGGACATTGAAAAATCCCTGTGGAGAGCGAGGCTGTGCAGGATGTGGACGGATCTAGTATGAGTCGGCAGCATGTACGTCTAGAAGACTGTGCTGCCGGCAGCTTGAACTGAATCATGGCGAGATGTCAAACATGATGTATTGTTAGGATCAGCTGATGGTCAGCTGCTCTATATTACTGCTTCAACTATGCATGCTTTTTTTTTAATTTGTAGAGTAAGTGATAACACAGAAGTCTAGCTTAAGAGTTCTTATGCAATTTATTTCTTTGAATTTCTTCATAATAAATACATTTTGGAAAATCCTGATCAGCGTCTTGGTTTCCCTGGAAGCATCACATTGTACTCCATGTACAATTTCGATTTTCGCGCATTTTAATCAAATAAGAACAAAAGCTCACTTCTAGCAACAATTTGCAAAATCTTCCATTTCTCAAGTGTTCCTGTGTTAAATTGAAATAAAAGCCAGCATTTGTGTTCAGAAAGGTTTAGATTTCAGCTTCTCTTTTATTCTTAATCTAACTTTTACATCAAGAAATTCATTAGCTGAAGACTAAAATAAAAATTGTAAGCTGTAAACTGCAAGCAGTGATAAAGAAAAAAGATGGTCATATATAAAACAGGAAGTTACGTTAAGACATGTATACAATTGCAATGAAAGTAACAAAAACAATGCCATCTCCTTTTCAGGTTCAAAGAACACAAATTGGGTTATTTACATAAACTCTAAAAAAAATACATTTTGTAACCAGGAAGGGAAGACAGACATGGATATGACCCATGTGATTTGCAATATCGCAATATATCGTATCGCAATACTTAGCATATCGTAGAATCACAATATTATCGTTTCGTGGCTTAAGTATCGCGATAGTATCGTATCATGGAGAGCCTGGTGATTCCCACCCCTAGCACACAATGTACAACATTACTTTGTATTACGGCTGATTTTTTATTCCATATTTTATTCCTCTATTTGATTCCATTGCAATGTAAATACTGTTATATTTTACTATATATTTTGTATTATTTTTAATATTTTGCTAGTTCTCTACCTGTGTTTTTAATTCTTGTTTGTATGCACCCCGACACCAAGTCAAATTCCTCGTGCGTGTAAACCTACCTGGTAATAAACCTGATTCTGATTCTGATTCTGATTCTGCCGACTCCAGCTCCGTCGGGGGTCCCACTGGCACCAGATCCTTTCCCGTCGGGGTCCCTGACTACTTTTCCCTCTCCTGTCGGCTCTTGCTCCCCGGTCCACTCCCGTCCCCCAGAGTTTCCCCACCGCTGCCTTCGCCCCTGTCTCAGACCCCCAGAGTTCCCCTGCCAGAAACTCTGCTAATGCTCAGCCTCTGCCTTGCCAAGAAGCGAAGGAGTCTAAAAATGACCTCCCTACCTCCTCACTTTCATATTTGCATCCCATCATCCCTTTATCCCTTCCTCTCTACATCCCTAACTCGCCTCCCTCCTTTGCACACTCATTCATCTCCACGTCCCTCTTCCATTCATCCCTCCCTCATTTGAACCTTCTCCTCCATATCCCTTTAATGTTCCTTCCATAACTCATTCTTAAACCCTATATCCCTCTATCCCTCTTTCCCATGAGCCTTCATCTAAACATCCCTTCATCACTTCCTCCCCTCATCCCTTCGGCCATTTCTCCCCCCTACTTCCCTTCACTCCTCCCTCCCTACATAACTTCGACCCTTAATCCCCACATCCCTTCATCCATTCATCCCTTCATCCATTCATCCATTCATCCCTTCATCCCTTCATCCATTCATCCCTTCATTCCTTCATTCCTTTCTCCCTAAACCCTTCATCAGTCAAACCCTCCCTCTCTAGTTCCATTCATCCTTTTATTTTTACATCCCTTCATCCTCAGTTATTGAAGTCAAACTTGTAAAAGAGTTTGATGTTGTTGTAATATGTCAATGTTGTTCACAGGTGTGAACTTTCTGTCTAATATGCTGTGTATGACCTCCATAGTGTAATGGATTAAATGTCATGGTTAAAGAAAAAAAAAGCAGATTTATTTATAAAATGTTAAAGCATCTATCAGTGTTGGATGTTAAAATATTTGTTCAGTATCTGTGATGTTTCACTGTCCTCTAGTGGGGGAACTTAACTGTTGCATATCCAGTCTTCATCACTCTGAGAGCTCCCTCCACTTTATTTTTTTTTTTTTCACTTACATTTTTATTGACATTTTTATAAAGATACAAAACCACATATAGTTCAGTATACAATACTGAACTATACAGTATGTAAGACCCATTGAAAAAAAAGAAAGTACTAATACACATAATAATAAAAACAAGCAAACAACAACAGTGACATGGAAGCTTTCTATCCTATTTTAATGCAACATCATCCGAATTGATTTTAAACTCCTTTTATTTGTTTTTAAAGCACTAAATGGGCTGGCTCCGGCCTATATAGCTGAACTCCTCCAGCGCTACACCCCAGCCAGAGCTTTAAGGTCTGCTGACCAGCTGTTGCTGATAGTGCCCAAGACCAGGCTCAAAACCCGAGGGCACCGAGCCTTCGCAGCAGCTGGCCCGAGGCTCTGGAACACTCTGCCCCTCCATGTGAGGTCGGCCCAGACCCTAGGGGTTTTTAAATCTACTCTTAAGACACACTTCTTCTCCCTGGCCTTTTAGTCAGAGCGGAGCACGACTCCTGACTTTTCCCTGTGTTTTCTTTTTAAATATCTGTTGTAATTTATTGTCTTTTATTGTGCTTATAGAAATGTGTTTTTATGTGATTGTAGTTATTACATGTACAGCACTTTGGCCCGACCAAAAATCGCTTTTAAATGTGCTCTATAAATAAACCTTGATTTGATTTTGATTTGATTTGATCATGATCTGGTTCCAACTCTCAATTTGTGGTGTCATTCATTTTTCTTTTATATTCAACCCATTTTTCCCATTTGGACTCAAATTTCCCTTCATGGACCCTCAATATGTGTGTGAATCTTTCCATATCAAATATGTCCTGTACTACTCCCAGCAATTGCTCCTTCATAGGTGGATCTGCTTTGTACCATGCTCTGGGGCCTCATTTATAACGCCTTGCGTAGGATTGACGTAGGAAGGTTGCTTACGTAGTACAAAGCACAAAAATAGGTACATACATTTTCCGCCATTTTCCGATTCACAAAACATTGCGTACCGGCGAGGGAAGTGCGTACGGCACTTCCTACGCCTGTTTCCCTTTATAAAACACAATCGACTCGTAACGCCCATATTTGCCTATAAATAGTCAAAGAAACGCCCATTCATTCATTTATTTTGACTGACTGCATGAAGAAGATCGCAGGAAATGACGATAGAACAGCTAAAAAAGACATCTCACACCGTGTCAGATTTAGGTTATTGTGGGGACGTCGAGATAAATCATATTGTTTGGTGGATGCAGTTTGAACCAGAGTAGCAGCATGGAGGTCGGATCGTCACCAAAATAAATAAATAAGTGGTCCGAAAAAAGTTAATGACAAAAAAATACACATAACCTTCCTCAGGCAGTGTGTTTGTACCGGGGACAGGAGACACCCCCTTGATGAGAAACTGTAAGAAATGATCGGGGAATCCCTCCGGAGTGGAGTCATGACGACTGGATCTGAATTATTTTGTTGTATTTGGTGGTTTGTATTCCAGCTGTCGATCAGCAACTATATATCCATAATCCACCAGTTAAATGAAATACAACTAATGTGTTGTGTTATATTAGCTGTACAATTTACCACATAGGCCTATGGTGTTCTTAGTTTCCATACCTCCTGTGTTTTACGAGCGACTTATCAAGTCTTAAAACGGCAAACGGCATAAAACACGATTAAACGTGATAGTATATAAAACCATGCTCGTATCTACAACCTATAGAAATGCAAAACGGCGTCAGTTTAGACGTAATTCTGTCCTCCTGCTTACCGCATCATTTATGAGAAAACATTTCATAACAGTAACACAACATATTTGAGGTGGTTTTAAATAACATATCTGTATTTATTTATTTCTCCAAGTTATGTTTTTGTGTGCACTGAGGAGTTTCAAACAGGCGTTTGTTTAATCATTTTAAGATTGGCTTTAATCAATGTTTGAAAATGAATTCTTCATATTTGATAAATGAGGTAACATTTTATTTATGGTATTATTTCCACATATTTCTCTCCATTCTTCCTTCTGCCAACGGTGTCGCAGTTTCTCGTCTCTCCCGTTTGTGTGCTTAGTGCGTACGCATGGGTTAGAGTTTGCGTGGAGGACAGCACATTTTCCCGTTAAGTTAGTATTTTATAAATCGCAAACATTGCGTAGAAACTGGCGTACGCCATTTTTTGAGCGTATATCCCTTTATAAATGAGGCCCCTGGTAATTGTTTTCTTGCTGGCAGCCAGCAGCACCTTTATCAGGTATCTGTCCCCACCCTGTGTGTTTTCCTGTACCAGATTCCCCAAGTATAACACCAGGCCGGTCTTAGGAACCTCATAACCTAATATCCCCTTCAATACTCCCTATACTTCCTCCCAGTATCCCTTCATCTCTTGGCATTTAAAAAAAAAGTGTGTGTGGTCTGCCCCCACCTTGCCGCATTGCCTCCAACATGCGTTCTGTTCCGGGGCATACCTCCCTTTCATCTTTGGGGTTATGAAGTATCTGATTATGTTTTTCCAGCCAAATTCCCTCCATACCCTTGACTCAGTAGTTGAAAGCTGCACTCTACATACATTATACCATTCTTCCTCTGTCATATCAATCCCGAGTTCTTTCTCCCACTTTTCTTTTATATATTGCAAATTTCCCCTCTGTGGGACTAATAAAGGTATTCTGATAGAGTTGAATTACCCCTACTCTCCAACAGAGCTTGATATAGAGCTGAAATCACCCTGTCTTTCTTCCCTTCATATGCTTCAATCATTACCTTAATTACCCCATTTTGTTTAGTGGTTTTATCCATTTGTATTTCTTTTATATAATAGTCTCTAAAATGGTCACCCCTTTCCAGATCGAACTTATCTCTTACAGTAGATATTGAAAACTCTGCATTTCCCCTTTTTCCACCATCCTACATATTGCTGTGATGCCCCCTCGGGCCCATCGCTTAAAACCTGC